TGGGGCTCCTGCTTCTCCCTGTGCCACTGGGCTGGGAGCCAGCCCAGAGCTTTGCTCCCAGAGTCGCTTTTTCCCAGTCTTTTTCCTTCTCAGAGGTTACACCTTTTGATCCGCACGGGCCTCGATGGCCTGTCCGTCCCTTTGCGCTCCCTGCGCCCCAAAACGGGAGCTCCATGGAATACAGGAGGGCTGCTCACACTTCCAGGCCTGTCCCTGGGGAAGGTGGGGAGCTCTGGGAGGGTGGGCAGCTCTGGAGAGGCAGAGAGCACTGCCGAATCCAGCCCAGGCCAGGACACAGGCAGGCTTGTTCCCAGCAGGTTGGGATTTTGGGATGTGATTTTTCAACAGTGCTGCAAGAAGCAAAGGGACCCTCAGCAGGTGCAGGTGGCTTTTTTTTTTTTTTGGAAGTGGGTTTTAAGAGGCTTGGGTTCGTCATCCTGGTTTGTACTGGGACATCTTTACTGCTCTGTGCCTCGGTGTCCCACCAACTGGTGGGCTCTGTGTTACCCCCCACTGAGGTGGCTTTTTTTTTTTTTGGAAGGGGGTTTTAAGAGGCTTGGGTTCGTCATCCTGGTTTGTACTGGGACATCTTTACTGCTCTGTGCCTCGGTGTCCCACCAACTGGTGGGCTCTGTGTTACCCCCCACTGCTGGTGACTGGTGAACAGAGGTGGTTTGGGGCAGGGACGTGACATCCTGCACGTGGAGCCTCCTGGTTGTAGGAACCATCTCCACCTGTGGCTGCAGGGGGGAACTGGGGCTCTGCTCAGCCTCTGTGCTCCTGCCTTTTGGGGCAATCCTGACATGGGGGTTTGCTCGGCTCCAGGGGAAAGGGCTGAACAGCTGCCGTGTTGCCTAATCCCTGAAACAGCTAAAGCCTTTCCCTTCTGATTTCAGAATGTAACACGAGCAGTAGAAGAGGAGAAACATGAGCCCCCGACCATCCAGGAGATCAAGCAGAAAATTGAAAAGTACAATGCAAGAGTTACCAACTGCCTGCTGATGAAGCTGGTACGTACTGGGCTCCGCTAGGTGAGGCACGGAAAGGCTGATGCTGGTTCCTCAGGGCTGTGAGCAGGGTTGGGCTGCAGGAAGGCACCTCCCAGCAAGAGGCCTTGTGGCTGTTGAGGTGTTCTTGTCTTCTGCCACTGAGGGGGAGCTCTTGGAATGCTCCTGCCTGACATGTGTGGATGGACATGACAGAGCCAGGCTCGTCTCTTGATCTTTGCATTTTTGCAGAGCTGGGGGGTGTGAGGGACCCCCTGTGTGACCTTCAGTGATGGGTTAGTACATGGAGGTGTGAGAATCCTGGAAGCAGGAAATAAAGGTGAGGAATATGGCTGGAA